TGAATTGCAGAAGGTTCTGATAACTTCTGTAATTTGAGCTCCTTTTTAGGAACGGTTTGGCCGAGTGGTATGGTTCTTGGCGCTCGCCGTCACTGGATGTGCGAGTAGGAATGCTCTTCTGGATATGCTGAGACAGAGTGACGGGCTTCATTAAAAGCTGGATTCCTTATCTCGAGGCTCGTCGAGGTTGATACAGGGTGTGGGCGAGGGCTATGGAAAGGACTCGGACTCAGATTCGGAGACGTCTTCTGGCCGGCGCTGTAGTCGGGATAGCACACCGGATACGAGGAGGGAAAGGAATCGTGGGCAAGACACATGTCAAGTATATCGACAAGGGCGGATGGGTTAAGCCTCTCACATTCAAGACCGCCTTCACATCTTAGAATGAACCGATCACCTAGACCGGACGAGAGTGAGGACGGCGGCGAGAGGAGGGCACATAGGAGTCGGGCTAGTTCGGTCCATTCGGCTCCCCGGCAGGATTATAACCATCTTTCTGTCCCGGTGCTGGAAGATTCGGGGTCGCTTCGCAGGTCGGTCTCGGCTAGGGAAGCCAGGTCTTCACACAGGAGGCGAGAAGACTGACGAGGTAATGATAATGATATTATGCAGGCCATGTTGAGGAGTTTCGTTACATTATGTCGCTGATACGAAATTAAACAAGCATTTGTTCAGCCATGTCGGTAGGCTCTAATTACACATCGCGAGCACGTATGAGAAAAAAGAAGCTTAGTGTTGCAACTGACTGGAATTGAACACCCCAAAGTTTACACAATACCAACAAGTAAAAAGGTGGGTCCTCTGGCGCAATGGTAGCGCATTCGACTCCAGTTTCATCTTGGACTGGCAATCGAAAGGTTATCCGTTCAAATCGGGTGGGGATCATTGACCCACAACGGGTGTTGTGGTGATGTTTTTTTTTTACTCCTCCCCCCTTTATTCAGGGGTAACGCGGCAGCAACACTGATAGCACCGGGCTTAGTCCATTGAGTCGGATAATCAGCCATTCCCCGTTGTGGCTGTCCCATTGTTGGGGATGCTAGTCCCGATAAAAACGACCTCCACGGCGGCAAATCTGCGATCATGGTTCATTAGTAACACTCCTCGCCTGTCCAGCGGCTTGACATCAGGTGGCCATGAGCCCACATCGAAGATATCCCAGTATCATGCGTTGGACTTGAAGGAGAAGGAAGGTACCCACGTGGCAGTAGCAGCAAAGATCTCGGCCCTCTTGGCCGAACTGAAAAACGCCAGCAAGAGCCCGAACACGCCCGTGAACAAGACCGTCAGACCAAGCCTCTTGGTTGTAGTATCCAACGTATTTAACACGAAGATGGTTAGTACCGGGAGCGTCGAGGAGACAACCACCGAGATGATTTGGCTTGTCTTTTGGAGTTTCGAGTCTGAGTACGACCGTAGCTGGGCTTCTTCGTCGACTAGTTTTCCGAACCGCTTGTGGGAGCGGATTCCGCTGCGCCGGCCGCCACAGAGGCGGTGGAAAAGATGGGCTATGCGGTAAGTCAGGAACGAAGTGAAGGGGTTGTTTTCAGGACTTGGTCGGTTGACGGAGAGGTAGGCTGAGGGGTCGGGCTCTTTCCAGGTGAATGCTTCGGAGCCTTTTAGGAAGTTCTTGCCGCCTGTTGATGAGCGGAGGAAGTCTTGAAGTTCATGCAGTTGCGACTTTGGCGGGTCGAGGGTTTGGGAGAGTTGGGATACTGTTGTCGTGTTATAGTCAGATAATGCGGAATTGGTTGTGCGCAAATGCCTTTGAGTTGCTGGGCATCATTGTTTGACTTACCTTGAACGAGCAATCCGTCTATAATGCCACACTTTCTTTAGTACTTCGGGTCTTTAGAGTTTAAGAGGAAGAAGTTGCTCACTGTACTCTGACATGCGTTGTCGAAGGGTCGTCAGTAAACCCAGCTGTGAATAAGGGCGTGGTTTTGGCGTCCCCACCGACTCTGAACAATGGCTACATGTATCTCCAGTGGGTGCTGAGTTTCTCAGAGCATGGAAGTATCCTGAATAGAGCCCATCTTCCGGGCTCAAATTGGCCGCGTCATCTCGTCGACAGCGATCGCGGAAAAGATCTCGAAGCTCTATGATCTCGGCCTGTAACGCCATCAAATGGAGCATGTTCAGCTCATCAAAGCGTCTGAAAATGCCCCAGCTTTTGTCCTTGCTCATTATCTCAGCTAGCCGATGATAGTTGCGCGGCTTGTAATCCCTAAAATCATCATGGGTAGCGTCTGGCGCCGTTATTTGAATTGTATCATTCCCGTCTGCGCCCTCAGTCGATTGGAAAGTCGCCTCATTGGTAAAGTTCATGTCTAATATGTCGCGCTCAGCCTTTCACATGGGTTCCATGGCAAATGCTATTCTATCAAGATGTTGATGGAAGCTTTTCCCTCTGAAGTCGGCATTATTGTTATGCTTGTAATGTCTGAATGGATATTAGAGTCAGAAAAGAGCGGGACACGCGAGCTAAGAGCCCGGGCGAATAAGAATCGCACGAGCTGGAAATCTTGAATGCCGCCTCTCCTGTCTATGGTGCTACAGTCAGGTCAACCGGCCAATGTGGCAACAATTGCTACACCCACCCAAAATATCCGTACAACCACCCACCACCAACATCAACATCAAGACATCGAATCCAGGCAAATCCAGTCAGTTCAGTCAAATCCAGTCAGTCTAGTCAAAGCCAGTCAGTTCAGTCAAATCCAGTCAAATCCAGTAAGTCCAGTCAAAGCCAGTCAATCCAGTCAACTCCAGTCAATCCAGTCAGTTCAGTCAAATCCAGTCAACTCCAGTCAAAGCTAGTCAATCCAGTCAGGTCAGTCAAATCCAGTCAAAGCTAGTCAACCCAGTCAGTTCAGTCAAATCTAGTCAAAGCTAGTCAATCCAGTCAGTTCAGTCAATTCAGCCAGTTAGTCCAGTCAAAGCCAGTCAAATCCAGTTAGTCTAGTCAAATCTAATCAAGTCAGTTTAATCTATATAAACTAGTTATCGTTAGTCTTGATGATGTTGATGTTGGTGGTGGTGGTGGTGGTGTGCACGGTCAATTTTGTGGGCGGTTGTTTGAATTGTTGCCACATTGGCCGGTTGACCTGACTGTAGCACCATACCTGTCGTGTAACAACCTCTATTTTCTCGGTTGCCCGTAGCTGCCTAACGCCACAGGACGAGTCTTCTGCTCATTTCTCTTCGCTCAGGTGTCTAAATTTCTCACAATTCTTATTCTTGGACCCAGGTGCTCGTTCTCCCCATCTACACCTACCAGTACCAGTACCATACACGCCTTAGCGAAACCCCGTCTTCGCTGAGTTCCACTATGGAGACCGAAACTATTGCTGCAATTGTGACCTCTCTTTCTACATTTTCCTACTCAAAGTCAGGACTATTACTTCTTCACGATCATGCCCCAAAGGACAAGAAGGGAACATTGCAACACGAAATCATAGTCTTGCAACATATTCTCGAGGAGTGCCTAAACCTGATTTCGACATTTACAGGTGTAACAAAGCTCCCACGATACTTGGTGACGGCGCTCTCACTATGTCATGAGCGTTATATTCCTTTGTTAAGAGCTCTCGAAGCCCTCAAAGGCCCGTGCAAAATGCCGCAGAGGATGTGGATAGAAGCAGTACGCCCGAAGGTTATGTGTCGTTACAAGGAATTCCGTGAATTGGTTCTCTTATTGAAGGATTTGACTTCGGAGTATGCACCCCATCCCGATTTATCTTAGCAAAAACTAACAGTGTCTTTCGAGCGAAAAGGCTTCGAATGAAGCGTCAGGTAGTTGAAATAAGGTAATCACGTTTTGTGGACCTTGATTAACTATTTATGGTCTTACATTTCTCTGATTTTTAATTTTCCATAGTTCTCTGCTGTTGAACCAAGATGAATCCTCAGGTGACGAAGACGAGCACCCTACAGACAACATCCATGTCGAGGTCATGGTTGGGGCAGAGAAGGCGGTGGACTCAAAATCATCAAACGGGGAGGTCGGTGACGGTAACGAACCTGCTAACGTGGGGCCGAGACTTTCAGCCTCCAAGAAACGGAAATCCAGGAGCCGGTTGAAGAGATTTCAACGAGATTTAGGCGAAGTCTTTACATCTGACTTTACTCGCGACCTGATCGTTATCTTTGAAACGGACTCGGACGAGCCGTCGAATCGATTCAAACGTGTGCTCTTGCGCAATAAGATTGACACATTCAGCGACGAAAACTTCATCAGTCTGAAGATAGTTGAGAGATATGCCAGCCTGATGACGAAGCAAACCACTGATGGACTGGGCGTCATTAGATCGATTCCTCAAGAGAAGCGAAAGGAGCGGGAACTGACCATGTTGGGTGGTTACAAGTTCGTGCCAGAGCGAGAGATCCGACTGGAATGGTACCGTCCCAAGGACGCACAGAAGAGAGAAACCACCTTTGTGATTGCAGACCAGGATCCGCCTTTCGACACCTTAATCTGTAAGGCGGATTGGGACATGTAAACTCCAAACTGTGCGTTTCCTATCTGGGGTAAACATAGGTCCAAGAGTGAGTTTCCGTCTCCCAGGTTACTCCCTTCCTCAACTGTTCACCAACTGTCTAACCATGAGATTTGCGAAACGTGTTCTGGCGCAACTGCTAATACTAGAATATGGAAAGAACAAAAGATTGAAGAGACGCATGCCGAGGAGAGAAGTGAACTGTCAGCGGTGGAGGTCATCAGGAAGCAACTAGACGCGGTCTCTAGAATAGAAGCTGGAAAAGGAAATCCCAACGGGGCAAGTGGTGGCACCACCAGGGCATCAACGCTGCCACCGGCACTTGCTCCTGCCCCTTAATACCTGCCACACTATTACATACCCTTAGAATGACTGTACCTATGGGTGGTCGGTTAGGGTTTATTTCACATGCACTCATAACGAATCCCATTTGTTTATTTTCAAGCCAGTGGAAAGCTTGATTCGTGTTTCTCGTCGGTAGCATCACAGTTCCCTAATCTTCCAGACAGCCGGTACAAGCTTTTACTAGCCCATCAAACCCAATTAACGGATCAACGATGAACCACAAAAGTGACCTAGTGGGCAACAGCAATATGAACAAGGGCCGAGAACCCAAGTCACCCCCTATTCCGAAGAGCAAAGAAATCTGACCTACGAATCCCGGACCAACCGGACAGTCCAGGTTTTTCCGCCTCTCATAGGCTCCTTCCTACCTGGAATTGCAACTTCCCCTCAATCCACAAGCCACATGAAAACTCTATCTCGAACTCTAAAAGGAACCACCAACCAAGCATTCCATCGGAACAGAGTTTAAGTACTATCCTCTTGAACATTGAATAAGCAATAAAGATAAGCCCCGCTAGCTCAGCTGGTTAGAGCGTCGTACTAATAGAATTAACCTTAGAGGTTCTATAAGGTCCATGCGAAGGTCAACAGTTCAATCCTGTTGTGGGGCAAGACATTTTCTTTTGCTTTTCATCATCTTTCTTTTGCACCTTTTTTTCTACCCATGCACACCCCTCTGCCTTCTCTGGGCCGCGACATCCTACCACACGTCGGTGGGTATATAAGAGTGGGTGCATGAGGCACTTGCTCAAGTGTCTGCTGTGACTTTTCATATTCCTTCTAATTTTCCTCATTATTTCCCTCCATCATGTTGACCCAAGACTTTCCTCTATGCTAAGAAAGAACACTGTCCTACTCTCCATAGTATGTAAGACGCGTGGACTCGAGCAAGGTGGAGTCAGTCATGCACCCTGATTTCAGCCTTATAATGTTTCCATGTAGAGTAGCACGGCTCGGGCATACTCGGGGTTTTAGCCTTGACCCAAGATCACACAATTTTAATCGTTTATGCCCGAGGTTGTCCAAGAGCCTTGGCAATCT